TATATTATCTCATTTAATCCTCACAAATACCCATGATGTAGATACTATTACTATCCCATTTTACTGATGAGGAAATTGAGGCTGGGGAAGTTAACTAACTTACCTAAGGTCACACAACTAGTAGTTGGTATACCTGGGATTTGAACCTAAAAACCTGACTCCAGACCTTATTCTCTCTCCAGGATGCAGCTCCCAGAGGAGGGAACCACCCATTTCCATAAAACCAGGTGATTTGTCCTAAAAAGTTCACCAGCTATTTCAGATTCAATTTCTATACTTCATTCTGTTCCAAGTAGTAGAACAAATACAGGAATTCCGAACATTGGACTTGCGTGGCTCAAACCAGATCTTTATTTAAGCCACGCATGGCAAAGTCCCTGGAAAGGACCAAGTGGGAATTTACAAAAGTGACTTCCGAGAACAAAGCCCAGAAAAACTAATAACCCTATCATCCTTATTCCAAAAGGGAAAGTTCAGATTTGAGACAGTTCTGTGTAAAATGTCAACATCTTAGCCAAGTCATTCTTGAAGTAATAGAGGGAGAAGTGGAATAGCTGGATATCAAGTGTTGGTATAAAGCTACAGGAACTAAGACAACGTGCTGGCGCAAGGATAGAAAAATAGACCAAGGGACAGAAGGGAGATCTCCCAGCCCACACACAGTGGGACTCTTGGCTCATGACAGAGGTAGCTCTGTAGAGAACTTGAGAAAGGATCATCTTTTCCATAAACCCAGTGTCAGGGGAGGAAATGAGACCTGTCCTGGTCCTCACCCCACAAGCAAAAACACTTCCCGCAGGACTTTAGATCCAATGATGAAGGCAACTGAGGAGAAAATCTGTTAAGAATATCCTTTTGACCCCAGGTTAGGGAAACTTCTTTAAAAAGGTCACAGATATATTGATAAATTGGACATTAAAGTTAAGAACTTAAGCTCATCAAAAGTTATCCTTAAGAAAGTAAAAAAAGGCAAACCATGAAATGGGAGAAGATATTTTCAACTGTGGACAAAAAATGTTGCCTGTCATATCAGTAAACAAAGGATGCTGTGGCCATCAAGCCATCAGTCGCTGCAGCCCGCCCCCAACTGTGCACTCTGAAGGGGTTCAGGATGGGGAAAAAAACAGATAATGGCCCTAGACAGTTAAGGTGTATATCGAAGGAATGATTTCAATGAGCCTAGACTCTTGTATCTTCCCATATGTAGAAAAGTGCTAAATTCATTAACTTGAGATGTCTGGTTTTTCTTTAATTAACAGTAATTTTTTGATGTTCTGGTTTTTGTTGCAAAAACTCCTATATATCCTGGCTCCTCCCTTACCTCTTTGGAACAGTCCCTCAGAGCAATCTGAGAGGCTGTCTGCTGGGCTGAAGTTCACAATATGTCTGCCACATAAAATATAATTCTCAACTTTTAGGTTATGCATTTTTTTCAGTCGACACAACGTATGTCTAGAATAAAGAGCCCCTACAAATCGATAAGAAAGAGAAACAACAGAAGAGAAAAATAGGGAAGAGGCTTGAAAAGGTTCACCACAAAAGAAACCCAATGCGCCAACAGATAAATGAAAAGGTATTCGGTTTCATTAGAGATCTAACAGATGTGAATTAAAACCACAATGGGGCTAGCCTGATCAAGCCCTTATGCCTAACTGCCACTTTACAGAAAATACCAGATAAGAATAGGCAAGACACCATGAGGAAACATGAGACAAATGCAGAATACGGTGCTTCTTCAAGACAACTGGCCAGGTCTTTTTTTTTTTATAAGTCAGTGTCATCAAAACAAGAGACTAAAGACGCAATAAGCAAATGCAAAGCATAAACTGTTACTGGATCCTGATTTTTTT